CAGAGAAGCTAGCACACAGGTATATCACCCTGGAATGAGGGACACCCCAGTCAGTTACTTCTACCTTGATATGCAATCAGCTGATAGTTCCAGGCTGGGAAGGAAAGGACTTCCTCTTCCTCTGAAAAAAGTGACAGGGCTGTGTCAGACTGCTTTCAGCTGCAGGAAGCCCAGCATCCTTCCCTGCCTCCTGTTCCCATACCTTCTCAGCTGTGGGATAGGGGTCACTTTAGAGGGATAGGGGGGGTCACTGCTCCCTCACCCACCCACCCAACTCCAATGCATCTGAACCTCCAAGACCCAGCCATCCATGCCTAGCCTCACCTTGTACATCCAGAACCCTCTAGTCCTCCTTATTACAAACCCCACCCCACTGAATCTTAGCTCCTGCATCTGCAGCCTCACTTCCCTGAGACCACCCTATCTGAAGTCCCTGAACTCAAACTCCTACTCAGATGAGCCCCATCCTTTGCACCACTCTGAGCCCCCCACATTCAGAGCCCATACCATTGACCTTCAGCTAGCTGCACCCCCAGACTCCCATCCCACCAAGCCTCACTCCCTCTGCACCCTTTGCTGAACCCCAGCCACCTGTACCTGGAACCCTCCTAGAAGCCTTTGTGCATCCATACCCATGAACATACCTAGAATCCCCACCTTCTTACCCCACTGAGCTGCTTGCATCCAGATTTCCCCACAAAGGATCTTCTCATTGCATACTGGGATCCCCCAACACTGAGCCCCTTCACGGTAGTATCCTGCCCGGTTGAATCTGCTTGCCCCATACCTGGTGCACCTGAACAGAGGGGCAAGGGCCCAAGATGTTTCTGGGGCAGAAAGATGATGTTGCTTTTCTTTCTGAAAATGCTGAAGACTTCAGGCATGCACAAATGACGTTAAGAAACATACTAAAATTAGGAAACATTAAATACTAGGATTGAAATTTTAGTTCTCTGTGGATGTGTATTATGATTAGTCAATTTCATTGTATACAAGTTACATAGAAATTATGTAACGCTCAGTGAAAGAGTTGGATTGTAAATGGGTATTCATATAGGTCTGTTCTTTATTTTGGGTTTCTCACTGCAAAGAGTGGGGCAGTGTGTAGTGATTGAAGCTGGGTCTACTTATTGGTCAGTGATGCAAATACATCTCTGCCTCTTTCACTGCATGCAGACTGTATTGCAATATGCAGACACAAACGTGATCCTAGGTACCCCTTAATCACACCATGTACCAGGGCTACTCAACTTTGGAAGCCCCAGGGGCCACAGTGATACTCACAGAACATGATGAGGGCTGCAGCTTAAGTGTGGTTGCATATACATACAATTAGCTTCTTTCACACTGCTGGGCATGAACACAAAGATGTTCAAGACTGCACAACACACGGGCCCCATTTAAATCAGGTCTGCTGATATTAATAAAATGCAGTATTTCCACCCATATGACAGCACTTTTTTAAAGAGCAGTGACTATCCAGGTATTTAACTACTAAAATGCATATCAACAGAAGACCATTATATTGACTATTTTGTTTTGGCTCCCACCTGTGGGCTGCATGTTGAGCCCCGCATAAACACAAACCATGGGCTGCATTTGGCCTGCGGGCCGCGTGTTGAGTAGCTCTACCCTATACAGTACTATGGGGTTCTGTACAAACTCTGCCATGTGAAGTATTTTACAAAAGCTAATAACTCTGCTGCAACTGGTTCTATGTGGGACACTTAAGAGATCTGACTCTTCATAGTTTGCACCAGGCCTTTCATATTTGGCAGTGGAGTAAGCTCTGGTGTCAGGCAGGTGTCTTCAGTTGGCTCTATGAAAATTCATTTTCACTTGACTAGTTATAAGCACTTGAAAATTATCATTTCCTGTCAGTTCTGTGATCAAAACACAAAGCTTAAACTCTAGATGGTACATATACAAAATGGGCTCTCCGGTTGCTTTACACCATCAATATAGCCTTTGGTCTATGTGAAGATGAATTGCTCTAAGAACCAGCAGGCCGTAGGTGTCAGTTATCTAATGATTTGTGTTAATTCTGTGTCCTTCATGATCTTTATCAATTAAGGTATCAAACTGGGAATGGAATATAGCTGTCTAATATCAGAGAGCATTCTGCTGCTGCCAGCTACTTCAGTTTAACTTAGTTATAGAGGTCAATAATACCATCTCTTATTTACAAAGGTAAATTGAAATATTGAATTGCTAGCCATAGAGTACCAGGCATCCTGTGGATGGAATGAGCCCAGGGGAAGGGAAATAAGATTATGTAATTAAAGACTGTTGGACACAAGTGAGCAGTGTTAAAATTGCCCAAGATATCTTAAATATGACACTTTTTAGAATTTGAGTACTTAAAATAATACTATTTTAATGCAGTTTTACTTAACGTGTATGTAACTTATTTTTATCAGTGCAAGCATTTATACTTGCTTATCTGCAACTTTTACTATAATTTCACTTCAGATATTCAGCTGCTTAACACTTTTTCCAGAAGGGGCACTTAAAACACCTCAGAAGTGTCATATGCAATCATAAGATGATTATAGAATATTTGATCATTAGTACTCTTGTAACTCTTCTGGCATGAAGTATTGTAACTCTGCTGGCATGAAGTATTAGATATACTTTGTTTTTGTAATATTAAATCAGCACCTGATATTTTGATGAGCACCCCAACTAGGTTGTTAGCACAAACAGAAGTTATGTGTGGTCTCTTCAGCCTGGTGTTTGATGCCTCAACTTATGCTTTTGTGTTTGTGCCAATTTTTGTTACATGGATTAGTGTTCTAGTGCTCTCTCTCCCTCCCCCCTACTACTACTGATGCATATTTGTGTGTATATATGACAATAGCATAGTATCTTACCAATATGATTGTTTGATATTCTGTTCAAATACTTTTCATTTTGTGGAGAAACAGTAGTTTTGGAAATTTTAATTAGAAGGCTATTGCAACTACATTCGGACGTTTGGAAAGCGGTACTAGGTGATATGTTCTTTCCTGGTTTAGGCTCTAAAGGCCTTTTATTTTTTTTTTTTTTTTTTTAAAGAAAACTATCTTTATTCCACTTGTTGTTTCTGATTTATTCCTTTTTCTAAGCAGTGTCCAAAAGCATTGGATTTATAACTTGAATATCTCTCTCTCTCTCTCTCTCTCTCTCTAAAACACCTTTTCCTGTGGGATGACAGAGTGGTGTCGTCATGTCACTCTGCGTTCCCCCTGTCTCCCCACTCCTCTTTCCCAGTCCTTGGCTGCCGTGCCATGGCCTCTCTCCTCCATTTCCTCCTCCTTGGTGGCCAGAGGGAGAGCTTGGGGCCCAACGAGGTCTGGGAGCGGCCCCCCGGTGGCTGGAGGGAGATCTGGGTGCGACCTCAGCCTGGCCTCCTTTCCCTGGGTGTAGGTATCCAAGTCCCGGTGGCTGGAGGGAGATCTGGGTGCAACCTCAGCCTGGCCCCCTTTCCCTGGGTGCAGGTATCCAAGAGCAGGGGTGGTATTGGGGCCGGAGGCAGGGAGGAAGAGCTGGGGCCAGGATGGCCTTGGAACCCGCCCTGGTGGCAGGGGGAGGGAAGCGCCTCAGCCTGGCCCTTCCTGGCATCTGGGAAGAGAGCCGGGCCTGCCTTAGCCTGGCCCAATCTGCCCGCCCTACTGACCAGAGGGAGCGAGCCAGGCCAGCCAGCCCCCCAGAGGCTGGAGGAAGAGAGCTCAGCCAGCCACAGCCTTGGGCTGAACTTCTTCAGTTCACTGTAATCCTCTCAACTGGTCTGAGTTTAGTTCAGCATTTGCAGTCCTGTTCTCTCGGGCAATTAGAGGCAGCCAGCCTTCCTAAAGCAAATATTTATTCAGAAAAAAAAAAACATTTTAGAGAACACATTTTAAATCAGTAAACTGCTTGTATGCATGTTGAGTGACAATTGGAACATCAGTCTTCCACATTGGCACCCTGGCAGGTTTTGAAGTACTTTGGGTCATCTTAGAGGGTTTACCCCTCTGGTCATGGTTTAAAGCCTGTCAGTTCTTGGATGAAGAGGAATTACCCCTCTCCATGTTAGAGTGGGCATGTTGTATAGCTCTTTCTTCTTTGACAACCAGATGAATCAGGTCATGCCACTATAAACAATCTCCCCAGAGGGTAAACCTTCAGACTTGTTACCTGTCTAAGGATTTGCCTAGTGTGTTTGGGGAAACTACTAGGGTTGCCAGGTGTCCGATATTCACCCGGACAGTCCAGTATTTTTGCCTCCTGCCCGGTAAAAAATTCAGAGAATACTGGATACCTAAAATGTCTGGTATTTTCTGATTTCCACTCCCCCGGCCAGGATGCGAAAATGTCGGGCACCTTGCAACCCTGCGCCCCGCTTTCCCCCAGCACCACCTGGAGACTTTCCCTGGCTCCCAGCACCCCCAGACTCTCTGACCTCAGCCCCCATGCTTACTTGGTTCGGTAAGGCTGCTGGCACAAAATGGCTGGGCCCCCAGAGGAAGCAATGCTTCCCCTGGGTCTTAGTGCTCAACTTCTCCCCTGTTCCTATCCCTGCACTCACTCTTAAAGGGGACATGATGTTTTAATTCTGTTTTTTTTTTTTCCCAACAAATTTGGGCCCCCCCCCCCCCCTTTTTTTTTCCTTCAACAGAATTTTTTCCCAGTGTTTTTTTTTGGGTGGGGGGTGGGGGGGTGTTTGGTATTTTCGTTTCAACTATCTGGCAACCCTAGAAACTACTGTAACTTCCTAGTGGAGCCAGAATACAAGCTGGTAAAGATACATACAAAATGTATAAATTCTTGAATTCCATATGTCCTTAGTTTGTTACAGTGTTTACATGAGGAAAAAACAAAAATGTGAATGCTGCTTAAGACAAATGAACATCTTCTGCATGTCTGTTAAGAGAATTTTGTAAATAGCAAGAAAGCATGTACTTAACCATTCCTCAATTTGAAGAGCAAATCTAAAGGTTTTTTATTTGTTCTTGAAAAGTTCTTCTATTGTGTTCCAGGGTCAAGGTGCAATAACTGAACGACTGAGAAGTTTCAGTATGCATGATTTAACAGCTATTCAAGGAGATGAGCCTGTGGGACAAAGGCCCTATCAGATTTTACCTGAAAACAAAAAGAAAACCAAAAGTTCTGTAAGTGAATCTCTGGGTATGTATCTTGCTAAAGTTTTGGGCTATTCACAGTGTAGTTACATTCTGATATGTAAAAGCCAGGAAGTGGAAAGAGCAAAAAAACATTTTTATTCTCTTATTGGTGGTGGAAAAAATCTCTGCAAATATAAATTGTCCCCAGTTGGCTCTGGGGACCAGGGTTGGGGAACACGGCCCAGCACCTTTCCTACTGCTGCGTGCTGTTGAGAGAGGCGTGTCCTCTCAGCCAACTGGCACTGGGCAGGGGCAGGAGTAGCGTCTCCTTCAGTCGTGGAAGAGTGCTTTTCTGTGCAGCAGGAGTGCCATATTGCATGGGGTCTCCTGGCCACGGAAGTATGCTTTGCTGTGCAGAGTAGCTTTGAGTGGCCTTCCTAGCGTGCAGGGAAGCGCTCTTCCATGACCAGGAGACACCACCTCTGTTTGGTGCTGATTAGCAGAGAGGCGTGGCAGGACGCGCCCATCCCAACAGGTGCAGCGAGAGTGGTGTACCCTAGCCCGGCCACAGAGCTGCCATGGCCTGGCAGCCAGAGGTCCATGGCCCATTGGTTGGAAACCACTGATCTAGTTGAATTGTTTGACAATGAGCTATTATTCCTGTTGGAGTAAACATTTATCCTACTACAAATTACAGTATTACCTAAATTATCTGTGTCATGGCTCCTTCCCCATTCTGGCATGATAAATGCAGAAGTGGGGGCCAGCAAGTGTACCCCAAAGCCTTATCTACCAGGCTTTGGTATAAAACTTCCCCCCAAGATCTTAAAAACCTAGGTCTTGGGAATAAAACTTCCGCTGCCACCACCCAAATGTTGATAAAGAAATCAGGGGAAAGATCATTTGGGAAATCTTACCCCTAATACAAGAATCAAGGCACACAATTAGCCACTGCCAGGTTAATAAAAAAGAAAAGAAAGAACTTTTATTATTACAACAATATTCCTGTTGCAAACATAATGACTAGATAGGGAGGTAACAAAATATACTCATGGAGAAACTCCATGGGCCTAGAACTTAGTTACAAAGAAAAGCCAAAACATCTTTTACACAGTGCCAGATCTCAGATCCCATACCCAATCCTTAAAACAATAAAACCTAACGAAACTGCCTAAACTTTACCCTACTTACAGAAAATGAAGAATGGTGTCTTGGAGAGAGAGAGAGACATGCTTGTCCCTCTCTGTAGCTGCAGAGAACTCTCAGAGAGACAAAAGGGAGAAGAGAAAGAAACCCAAATTCCTTTGTCCCAGTTTGAAAAGTCCCACCTACATTCTTATTGGTCACTCCACCTGGCTAGGTGTAGTTAACCCCTTAATCCCCAGGCTGCTGGCTAACCCTCATAATCCTGACAATCTGTATTATTAAATCATGCAATATTTAGTCTTGTTAAAATTCATCTATTGAGTAATCTACATGCATATAAAAATGCCCAAATAAGTATTTTCTACTCATGGGTTACAAAACAAAAAGAAAGATCATAACTAAACTTTGAAAGTGGATGCGAAGCAGCCTCTGCCCATGGGGAGCTTGGGCCTGACGCGGACAGAGGCTGCTTGGTGGCAGTCTCCCCTGTCCCTTTTAAGTTGCCTGTCCCCAGCACTGGTTCCTGCCAGCCCCAGGGCTGCAGACTGTCTGCAGAGCCAGCATGGGTTGAGAGCCAAAAGCCAGCTCCTCATGCGTATTGGCTCCAGCCTACCCCTCCCCCCACCATCTGCAATGCTGCCTCTCTATCAGAGGCAACAGGGCTGGAGGTGGGTGGAAAGGCAGATCTGGTGGTTGTGGGGATCCTACTTAAAGCCAGCTGCCTCACGGGCACCGGTTCCTGCTCGCAAGGGAGGAAAATACATGTAGTTGACCAGATTAACGGATAGGCCTAGGCTTATCAGTTAATTGTATAGTCGACTATATGCTGACATCCCTAATTAGGACTGTATTTCCACTTTTTTAAAGGATATCTATCTCTCTTGAGATCATGATGGGTTTTCTCTGTTCAGGACATGAGTCTCTTAAATCTGAAAATTGAAATAACTCATTGTAAAAAAGTGTTCCTTTTTAAAACAGCAATAAAAAACAGATTTGAAATGTCAAACGTTACTTAGACAGCAAGTAATAAGCTGCCTGTTGTTCAGTATTTGATGTTAATCCCAAATTATCATGGCTCAAGAAAGAACTCCCTGCAGGAAAACAGCAAATGGTAGCAGGATAGCTTTGATCTTCATTTTATAAACAATTATACTGCCAGTAGAGAACTTAAAGGACACTACTATATGATGGCCAGCATAGTTTTAAGGATTGCATTGCACGGACTGATGGTTTTGGCACTACCTGACACTTTTATAGTGTACAGTTGTTTGTTTGCCCTCTTACCTTGAAACGGATGGCAGACTGACAACTGATTGATATATTTTTTTCCCAAAGAAATCCCCAGCGTCTTTTTAACAAAGAATGTATTTGTTAAAATGCACCAAACTTCATATCTTTTTGTCAGCAAAATTCAATAACTGAAAAAGCTTTCATGCCATCTACGGCTTTAACTTTCCTGAATTTTCATTATTTGTGCTGCTATTTATACAATTTACCACATACAAGCTTCTGCCTGATGTGCTTTATTTTAGGTTACAGAATTCCATTGAAAAAAGATTCTGGAGATGATAAAACAGATGAGGAAATGGAGGGGACTCATTCAGAAGATGAGATGTTTGCTCAGAGGGGCCTCAGACGATCACAAAGCATGAAATCTGTGAAAAGTATTAAAGGCCGTAAAGAGGCAAGTGCAGTGTTTTATAATAGTATTGTGTTCCATTAATAGCAATGTATTTTGAAAATATAACGGCCTAAGAAATCAGAATATTTGATTGTGAAGGACATAGAGTGGCTCTAAATTGTAAGCAGAATCTGGAATACAACATGTATAGTTATCATCAAATATACAACTACTCCTGTTTCTGCCTTCTAAAGGGAAACAAGAATGGGATACGCCTGTTAACTACAAAAGACAAGGGAAAAATATACTGACCATATAAATATAATTGCATAAAGTAAAGTAATTAAATTATTTATCTCTGAGCACTATGTCCTGTATGTGTACTTATCATAATGATGGCACATAGAAAAGGAGTGGCCAACCTGCGGCTCCTGACAGAACCCAGAACCACTCGGGTCAGCCGCTCTCATGGCCAGGCTGCTGTGAGCAGCATGTGTGCTCACAGCCCTGCGCCGTTCCGCTCCTAGCCCCCAGCACACTAAGTTATATCCTGCACGTGAATAAGGTTAGTGGGGGAGGGGGATTGGGTTAGAGCAGGGAAGGGAGGTGTCTGGCTCTGGGGTAGGGGAGGGGAGGGGAAGGAAGAGGAGTTGGGGGAGATGCGCAAAAGGTGCCGGCCGCTCAGCGCAAGCGCCCCAGCGCCTGGAGGGAGATGTGTGGCTGTAGCAGTGGCGGCTCTGGGACTCGAGAATTAGGTTACTCTGTGCGCCTGGCTCTAGTCTGGAGGAGGGGAAAGGAAGGGAGGGGATTGGGTATGGGGTGTGGGTGCACACGGTGTCCCAGCCAGCACATCTCCAGGCTGGCCACTCAGTGCATATGCCCCAGCACCTGGAGAGAGATGTGTGTGGCTGTAGTGGTGGCTCTTCCTCTGGGACCCAAGAATTAGGTTAGAGCAGGGGGAGGGGGATTGGTATAGAGGGGAGCTGGTGCCTGGTTTGGGGTGGGGATGGGGTAAGGATGTGTGTGTGTGTGTGCGCCTGGCTCTGGGGAAG